TTTTTTTTTTTTTTTTTTTTTGCAGCTATTGTAAAAGGGGTTGAGTTCTTGATTTGATTCTCGGCTTGGTCACTGTTGACGTATAGCAGAGCTACTGATTTGTGTACATTAATTTTGTGTCCTGAAACTTTGCTGAATTCATTTATCAGTTCTACAAGCATTTTGGAGGAGTCTTTAGGGTTTTCTAAGTATATGATTGTTCATCAGCAAACATTGACAGTTTGACTTCCCCTTTACTGATTTGGATACTGTTCATTTCTTTCTTTTGTCTGATTGCTCTGGCTAGGACTTCCAGTACTATGTTGAATACAAGTGGGTAAGAGTGGGCGTCCTTGTCTTGTTCCAGTTCTCAGAGGGAATGTTTTCAACTTTTCCCTTTTTGGTATTATGTTGGCTGTGGGTCTGTCATAGTTGGCTTTTATTACATTGAGGTATGTCGCCTGTATGCTGATTTTGCTGAGGATTTTAATCATAAAGGGATGCTGGATTTTGTCAAATGCTTTTTCTGTGTGTTGAGACGATTATGTGATTTTTGTTTTTACTTCTGTTTATGTGATGTATCACATTTATTGACTTGCGTATGTTAAACCATCCCTGCATCCCTGGTATGAAACACACTTGATCATGGTGGATTGTCTTTTTGATATGTTGTGAGATTCAGTTAGCTAGTATTTTGTTAAGGATTTTTGCATCTATGTTCATCAGGAATATTGGTCTGTAGTTGTCTTTTTTTGTTATGTCCTTTCCTGGTTTTGGTATTAGGATGATACTGGCTTCATAGAATGATTTAGGGAGGATTCCCTCTTTCTCTATCTTGTGGAATGTTGTCAATAGGATTGGTACCAATTTTTCTTTGAATGTCTAGTAGAATTCAGCAGTGAATCTGTCTGGTTCTGGACTTTTTGTTGGTAATTTTTAAATTACCATTTCAACTTTGCTGCTTGCTAATGGTCTGTTCAGGGTATCTAATTCTTCCTGATTTAAGCTAGGAGGGTTGTATCTCTCCAGGAATTTATCCACCTCCTCTAGGTTTTCTGCTTTATGCACATAAAGGTATTCATAGTAGCCTTGAATTATGTTTTGTATTTCTGTGGTGTCAGTTGTAATATCTTCTGTTTCATTTCTAATTGCGCTTATTTGGATTTTCTCTCTTCTTTTCTTGGTTAATCTTGCTAATGGTCTATCAATTTTACTTATCTTTTCAAAGAACCAACTTTTTGTTTCATTTATCTTTTGTATTTTTTTTTGTTTGTTTCACTTTCTTTTAGTTCTGCCCTGATCTTGGTTATTTCCTTTCTTCTGCTGGGCTTGGGTTTGGTTTGTTCTTATTCCTCTAGTTCCTTGAGGTGTGACCTTAGATTGTCTATTGTGCTCTTTTAGACTTTTTGATGTAGGCATTTAGGGCTATGAACTTTCCTCTTAGCACCACCTTTGCTGTATCCCAGAGGGTTTGACAGGTTGTATCACTATTACCATTCAGTTAAAAAAATTCTAAAATTTCCATCTTGATTTCATTGTTGACCCAGTGATCATTCAGGAGCAGGTTACTTTAATTTCCATGTATTTGCATGGTTTTGAAGGTTCCCTTTGAAGTTGATTTCCAGTTTTATTCCACTGTGGTCTGAGAGAGTACTTGATATAATTTCAGTTTTCTTAAATTTGTTTAGACTTGTTTTGTGGCCTATCATATGGTCTATCTTGGAGAATGTTCCATGCACTGATGAATAGAATGTATATTCTGTGGTCGATGGCTAGAATGTTCTGTAAATATCTGTTAAGTCCATTTGTTCCAGGGTATAGTTTAAATCTATTGTTTCTTTGTTGATGTTCTGTCTTGATGACCTGTCTCGTGCTGTCAGTGGAGTATTGAAGTCCTCTACTATTATTATATTGCTTTCTATCTTATTTCTTAGGCCTAGTAGTAATTGTTTTATACATTTGGGAGGTTCAGTGTTAGGTGGACATATATTTAGGATTGTGACATTTTCCTGTTGGACAAGGCCTTTTATCATTATATAATGTTCCTCTGTTTGTCTTTTAACTGCTGTTGCTTTAAAGTTTCTTTAACAAAGACAACAAAAGTTGTCTTTTTCCACCCTTTTGCCTTAAGTTTATGCGAGTCCTTATGTGTTAGATAAGTTTCTTGAAGGCAGCAGATACTTGCTTGATAAATTCTTATCCATTCTGCAATTCCGTATCTTTAACATTAGTATTGAGATGTGAGATATTATTCCATTCATCATGCTATCTGTTGAAATACTTCTCCAGTGATCTGGACCTTCAGGTTCCCCAGTGAGGGTCTGTGTTTTGGGGCGATGATCCCCCTATCCCACGTTCACAGTTTGGGCTCTCACAGTATTTGGGCTGTCTCCCGAGTCCTGCAGGAATAATCTGCTACCTTCAGAGGGTCTGTGGATCCTCTTGCGCTTTTCTGGTATATTCCTGCAGTAGTTCTTGGAGCAAAAATTCATGATGTGAGTCTCTGCATGATGCTCTGTCCATCTGAGTGGGAGCTACAATTTAGTCCTGCCTATCTGCCAGTTTTTCTAGATCCTCCAGTGGCAATTTAACTTTAAATTGGAGATCATTGAACAATGCCCCACTGGAGTTGGGACATAAGAGACACTTAATTTACCCCTCAGGCTGTCATTTGGGTTGAGGCTCATCCTACCTAAATCCAAACTGTCCAGACAGTGGCAGAGACAGGACTGGAATCTGCAGCCACTGAGCCCTTGTCCAAAGCTCTTTATACTGCTACACACTGTCTTCCTCAGCCCCTCACACTGCAGCTCTCCACACTGGCTGTCTTTGAGGCCCACATGCCTCTGATTCTTCGACCCCTTGACGCAACATTTTGCAGAACCATTGTGAAGGCTCAATTGTGCTTGTGAATATACTCTGTAGAGCCTAAAACACCAAGTGCTGTGCACATTTCTTGTTGTCAGATGGGCTAATAGATGCAATAGGGTCCTGAAAGCATTAAAGTATCAACACCTGGGTCAGGTGTGCTCATTATCATGATTATCCATGGAGCAAATGCTCTGGACAGAGGATCAACAGGACCCTTGCTTGTTCTTCTATGGGGCTAAGGCAGGTCAACCTCCTTAGGGCAGGTGGACCAAGTCCCTGGGATGTCAGCCAAGGGAAAGTTTGCCAGTGAGTGCAGGAGGGATATGGGCTGCTACCTCTTAGGTCTCATTTTCAAGATTGGAATGAAGGAAGGAAAGCAAACATGGTGGGCTACTTTCAATTGACAAGATACCTGGCACCCAAAGGAGATCTGACTGTGCCAGAGGATCTTTACTCTGAGCCATAGAAAGTAGCACTGTTACCTTGATTGATTTTTCCTTAGAAAGGCACTTACTGACTTTTCCAGTTATTTATGTGGATCAAATGCAAGATGCTAAAGAAAATATTTTGTTGCCTTGTGTAGGGATGAATCCCATGGCACTGAGACTATGTTGGGGCTCACATTTTTGTGTATCCTATAACTACTGCCCTGGGGCTTGTCCCAGTCCTGGATGAGCTCACAGTGATGTGAAACCATTCCAAACTCTGCTGTGGGGACTGTAAGATCACCCAGGGGCTCAGATAAGGGAGTGATGAGTGTGGCATGCGTGGTTGGGAAAGGCTCCTGGGGAAGGGAGAACCTGAGCTGAGTCCATAATAGTCGGTGGGATATGGAAAAGGGGGACAGTTGAAAGGCATTTCAGAGGGAGAAATGTGTGAGTGAAAGCATTGCCTTGTGGAGGTCAGTTTAAGTTGCAGGTAAGTGAGAGAGGGAATCACAGTCATCTTTCTCATTCTATCAAGAGCACAAGTAAGAAGAGCTTGCAAGGACATCTCCGATCTTTTCAGGACTTGAAGTGAAACTCAGCAGGAGGAGAGGTGGAAATACCGGGTAGCGTTTCTTCCTATCTAGACCATTCCTTTATAAAATCATCTTGCCTAGTGTTTTTATTAATAACTTCATTATTGTGAAGAAGAAGACAAAAGGGAAGGAGAAGGAGGAGAAGAATAAGATAATAATAATAGTTTTTACTATTTGTTGAGTGCCTGCTATTTGCAAGGTTTTACTCTCACTTAGTTAACTATCACTTAGATTAGTTTTGCTATCACTAATTCTTTTTTTATCAGAATTTAAAACTTCTGTTTATCAAAGACACCATTAATCAAATGAAAAGGGAGAAAATGTTTGTTAAACATATATCTAACAAAGGATTTATATCCAGAATACGTAAGCAGCTCAATAATAAAATAACCAAATTAAGAAACAGCCAAAAGACTAACAAAGCACATTAAAAAGTATTCAGTGCCATCACTAGGCATCAGGGAAATGGAGATCAAAACCATACACACTAGAGTGACTAAAATTTAAAAGATTGATATCAAATGTTGGTGAGGGTGTAAGTCAAACAGAATTCTTATACATAGCTGCTAGCAATGCAAAACAGTACTGGCACTTTGAAAATCAGTCAGGCAGTTTCTCATAAAGTTGGATGTCCATCTACCCTATAATCCAGCAGTATCTGTCCTTGATATTTACACAAAAGAATGAAAAAATATGTTTGTAAAAAACACATGAATATTCTTGCTTAAGTGTACTGCTGTAGATCTTAGTTTGTACTGTACACATGATCATGTATGGCCTTGTTTTGAGGTCATTGGTGTGTATGTCTTGTGACTCCCACAGAATATTCAGTGCATGTGTGTTTGTATCACTACTACTGTCACTAATTCTTATTCCCACCTTGCAAGGTCAGTCCTATTCCCAGTTTACAGATGAAGAACTTGAGACTCAGAGAGGTTAAGAAATGTCTCCTATGTCACACAGAAATAATAAGAATTTGAATCTAGGACTATCAGGCTCCAAAATTCATACCTTGTTCCCATACTCTTGCCTCTCAAAATGAGATTGTCTTATGGTGGTGAGTGGGCCTAGGCTACTATTGAAAGTCAAGTGTGTTTCACTAATTCATAGGTATGAATGATTTTCCTATAGGCAAAAAAATCTTCAAGCATACATTTTCTAATTATTTTTTTCTTGCTGTGGTCATATTTGCTGGTGGTGGTGGTGGTGGTGGTGGTGGTGGCAGTGTGTGTATGTATGTATGTATACATATAATACATGGCAATATCTACTCATGTAGAGCTACTTATTGACACTTTGTTGTGGGGGCTTTAATTTCAGGTTGTTTATCCTGGTGCTGATTGGCATCAGCATCGCCTGGGTGCCCATTGTGCAGTCAGCACAAAGTGGGCAACTCTTCGATTACATCCAGTCCATCACCAGTTACTTGGGACCACCCATTGCAGCTGTCTTCGTGCTTGCTATTTTCTGGAAGAGAGTCAATGAGCCAGTAGGTATCATCTGGGCATGTCCAGAAAAGTCATGCTGGCAAAGAAGTTTCCATGTGGGTTTGCATATTCTCTGTGGGAGGGAGTCTATTTCCCAGAGATCTTGAACAGACACAGATGTGCTACTGAGGGTTTATAGGGAAAGCCTCCAGGGATCATGGGGCTCTCTGTTGGAGTGAGCTCCTCGGGAGTTGGTATGGGGGTCCACATTCTATCTGTCTCCTTCGTCCAAGATTAGATTTTCTTAATTTTTTTTTTAAATAGAGGTGAGGACTCACTGTGTTGCCCAGGCTGGTCTTGAACTCCTGAGCTCAAGTGATCCTCCCACCTCGGCCTCCCGAAATACTAGGATTACAAGCCAAGATTAGATTTTCTATCTGATCTTGGTGATTTTGACCTGACTGCATGGCACTCCCTAGGAATTCTGTAGCCCCTAGGTGAGCGAGAGAAAGTCCTAGCACAACGTACCTCCAGCACTCTACTGTGAACTTGGCTTTCCAGCCAGCACCTCTCAGGGCTCAGTGAAGACAAAGTCCTGGCGCACAAGCAGTTTATACATACAACAAGGTGCGTAACAAGTAAGGGATACAATAGAGCACATAATATGAGCAGGAAGGGATTTAGGAAAGACTTTATCAGCAGGGGCTGAAACTGTCAGGGAAGGCTCCTTGGAGCAGCGGGAGCTGGAAGAATTTGAAGTTGGAGAGGGAAGACATAACATTCAAGTCAGAGAATAGTACCGTCCAGACCTTTCAGGCAGAAGTAGGATAAGAGTGAGGGTGAAGGACTTGTATGGAATCTCGCCTGGCTCAAGGGGAGTTTGTGAATGTGAAAGATGAAAGTGTGGCTGGAAAGGTAGGTCAGGGTTTCATTAACAGTGACCCCTTTGGTGGAATCTTTAGGTTTTTGTAAATATGAGATCATATCATATGTAAATGAGGCCAATTTGACTTCTTCTTTTCCAATTTGGATGCTCTTTTTCTCTTGCCTACTTGTTCTGTCTAGGACTTGCAGTACTATGTTGAATAAAAGTGGTGAAAGGGTATATGAAAAAATTTTGAATTTTTAAACATTTATTTCATGGCAGATTTATTGACTTTTTTTGAGACAGGAATCTCACTGTGTTGCCAAGGCTAGTCTCAAACTCCTGAGCTCAAGTGATTCTTCTGACTCAGCCTCCAAAGTAGCTAGGACTACAGGCACACCCCGTGCCCAGCTAAGAAATAATTTTTTTGAGTGAAATAGCGTATGGGGGATGAATAAGGAACATATTTTTTCTTTTTCCTTATTTATTTCTTCATCTAGAAGTCACTTCCAGATGCCAGCATAGGGTGAGGCACTAGCAACACAAAGTGAATGAAACCTGCTTCCTTCCCTGGGCAACCCCCCAGTCCACACTGGGAGACAGAGAACTATTGTGATTCCATGGCAGTGGGGTTGGTGCTGGCCTGGATCTGTGTCCACAGTGCTGTGGCCACAGGGTGTACAGGGTCCACCCACCCTGTGCAGCTTTTTCTATTTAAGCTAGAACAAGGTTACCAGGAATAGAAGAGCCCATATTCTCCCAGGCAGAATGAGCTGTACAAAGACCTGGAGACAAAAGCACATGTCATGCCATGTGTGGAGGATAGCTGATAATTTCATACACTTGGAATAGAAAGTGTAGGGATACCAATGGCTAGCAAAGGGGCTGACCAGCACCTAATAAAACTGTGAAAGCTCTTTTGGGCCACCCTTCTAAGAGCACATTCTACTTTGCCACTGGCCTGCCAGAGTCAAACCTAGTCCTTTAGGTGAGGACTTACCTAACGGAAATATAGAAAGGAAAAAAGGAAAGAGGGAAGGAAGGAAAGAGTAAAAAAAAAAAAAAAACCCTGAAAAATCATCCCCTCATGTTTCTGGTTTCTTAAAGTCTTCCATATTCTAATATACAAACCCAAAATTTAATGTAAAAACACCGTATAATTTTATGTTCTCAAACTAAAAATAGTTCATAAAATAAACTATAAAGAGGGCTAAAAAAGTAAATGTTATTTATATTTTGATGGAAGTTTCTTTCTCCTTCATCTTCCAAAGACCCAAATTCTTTTCCCACGTCTTTGTGAAACACAAATTACCTCACAAGTAATTACTTTTCATCTGAATATGCCTAAATCTGGAGATTGGTATTGATAGTAGCTGCAGGTGGAAGGGCTCAAATTATTTTTCAAATTAAAGGGAATTTTTGGAATCAAGCCTGTAGGTTGACATTCTATTCCGGTTATTAGACACTTTACCCCATTATGTTATGGCTCCTTGTTTAATGATCGAGGTGAAATCATGTTGCTGAAACATGATAGACAGACACACTGAAGGTCTTGCATAGCACTCCTAGCCATATTCTGAACTTCAGTGTTCTGGGTTCAGACAGCCTGGAGCTACCACTTCTACCTCTATCCCTTTGCCTCTGCCTATACCTCCCTGAAGAATGTTAGAAAGGCTATCTGTGTTTTGTGTTCACCATGAGTTAACTCAGGGTTTTCTTTCACAGGGAGCCTTCTGGGGACTGATACTAGGATTTCTGATTGGGATTTCACGTATGATTACTGAGTTTGCTTATGGAACCGGGAGCTGCATGGAGCCCAGCAACTGTCCCACGATTATCTGTGGGGTGCACTACTTGTACTTTGCCATTATCCTCTTCGCCATTTCTGTCATCACTATCGTGGTCATCTCCCTCCTCACCAAACCCATTCCAGATGTGCATGTGAGTATCTATTTAGGGGATCTGTCCTTGTTTCATGTTCATACTGCAATGTTCTTTAATTTTTAAAAATCTTTTCATTATTATGGGTACATAATAGTTGAATATAATTATGGGGTACATGTAATGTTTTGATACAGATACCCAGATTTCATCAAATCTGGGTAATTGGGGTGTCCATTGCCTCAAGCATTTATCATTTCTTTGTGTTAGGAACATTCCAATTCCACTCTTAGTTATTTTAAAATGTAGAATGTGGTGGCTCATGCCAGTAATCCCAGCACTTTGGGAGGCCAAGGTGGGAGGATCGCTTGAGTCCAGCAGTTTGGGACCACCCTGACAACATAGTGAGACTCTGCCTTTAAATTGTACACATATAATAAATTAAGTATAGCTAACCTATTGTGCTACCAACTACTAGATCTTCATTCATTCTAACAATTTCTGCACCCATTAACCATCTCTATTCTGTCCTCCATCCACTGCTACCCTTCCTGGTCTCTGGTAACCATCAATCTACTCTCTATCTCCATGAGTTCGGTTTTTAAAACTTTTAGCTCCCATATATGAGTGAGAACATGATAAATTTGTCTTTCTATGCCTGGCTTATTTTACTTAACATAATGGCCTCCAGTTCCATCCATATTGTTGCAAATACGGGATCTCATTCTTTTTATGGTGCAATAAAACTCTATTGTATATTTGTACAACATTTTCTTTATCCATTAATTTGTCAGTGGACACTTGGATTGATTCCATATCTTGGCTATTGTGAATAGTGCTGTAGTAAATATAGAAGTCCAAGTATCTCTTTGATATACTGGTTTACTTTCTTTTGGATATATATCCAGTAGTAGAATTGCTGGATCATATGGTGGCTCTATTTTTAGGTTTTTGAGGAACTTCCATAGTGTTCTTCATTGTGGCTGCACTAATTTACGTTCTCACCAACAGTGTTTGAGGGCTCTGCTTTTTCCCCAACCTCACCAGCATTCATTATTGCCTTTTTGATAAAAGCCATTTTAAATGGGTGAGATGATACCTCATTATAGTTTGATTTGCATTTCTCTGATGATTAGTGATGTTGACATGCCACAACATGCTTGGTTGGCCTCAGCAAAATTATACATCTTACATTCACATTCACATGACTTGCTATTGGTTTCATGTGGAAGGATACATGCCAGGAAACATGGTGTGCCAGCAGGCTGATATCAAGCCCATGTCTTTAGTTGGAATCCTCACAGTTGTACACCCTTTATTCCAGGGCTTATTCTCTGAAACCTGCTCCCCAAGTGCAGGCTCAGGTGCACAAGATCACATGGGTGGTACAAGGCTACCTGGCTTAGAAGCCTATATTTTAAATAGAAACTGGTATTTCTCTTGACAGTCGTGTGGTCAAAGCTGTCAAAGGTCCCAGCAAAGCACATACCTAGTTACAAAAATCAGTCTACTCAGGGATATCCATAATATAGTTTGCCTCTTGATTTTTTTCCAAATTAATCCACCAAAAATTGACCATAGGATGTAAAACATTTCTAACAACATCAAAGCCTAACTGATTCAAGACTTCAAAAGTTGCAATTACTCTTCTTTAACTCTAGATGCCCCCATTGGTTTAGAATTCATTCATAGCTCTCCCAATTTAGATAAAGATGACCAATTATGAGCCATTTTTATTAGTAGTCTGCTAACCCAACACAGATTTCCAGGTTTCCAAGGGAACAGAGCCAGAAAGTTAGCCCAAGGTCATATTTATTCCTAGAGAAATCAGAAGGATTTTGTTAATCCTTTACTTTACTCATGCATGTCCATACAAGTGCCTGTGGAATCCCTAAGAGACCTTCAACTTCATTGCCAAATTTTTAAGAGCTGTTACAAACCTAATGTCAAACAAAGGCTGCTTTTATAGCAGCAGAACTGCATCACATCTGTTGGCTGGACCTGTCACACGCTTTCTTTGTGTGGTATCAACTGCTTCCTCATGTCTCCAGTCTTTGAAAGTATTATACCCCAAACACATTTCTAGTTCATGCCCTAGACCAAGTTCATGCTCTAGATGAAGTTTCTGGTTCATGCTCTTAACTATGTCAATAGAAACTGTGCCTTCAGCTCTACTGTATTCTATTAGGGCTCATGATTCTAGATTCTCGTCCACATAATGTGACATAGTGCAAAAATCTAAACTTACACTCCTAACCTGGAGAAATGGCTTCTTACTGCCAGTGCTAAAAGGAACAAATTATTTATCACACACATAAAAGAGTTCATTCAACAAGCATTTCTATATGAGGCAGTTTTTTGGCTCTGAATATGCAAATATCATAGAGGGTAGTGTATACATGTATATTACTTTCATCTAAGTTACCAATGTTTTTAGAGATAATGTTATGGATGGGAATGTTGTGTATGTTCTTCTTAGTACTGAGAGGCCACATTCCCTTCCCTTCCTTGATGCATATCTCTTTGCCACCCCCCAACTTCTTGTCCCAAGATGCTATTTGGATCTTTCTGTTGACCTGTTCTGCCTTCTCTGCAGCTCTACCGTCTGTGTTGGAGCCTGCGCAACAGCAAAGAGGAGCGTATTGACCTGGATGCAGGAGAGAACATCCAAGAAGTCCCTAAGGAGACCATTGAAATAGGTGATTTATGACCCAGAGCAGATCCTAAACCATAAAAGTTACTCCTACAACAACAAGACAACTTTACTGAAGCCCTTCCCTAAATGACTTTAACAGAGCTCAGATGTCCCCGCTCCAGGGCAGTGAGGAGCAGGGTGGGGATGAGATGGATAAGTGGGTTTGGGGAAGTTAACTCTTGAGTTCAAGGGGAGGAAAGGGTACAGAATCATTCAAGCTCCCTGACCCCTCATATTTAAAAAAAATTTTGTGGGTACATAGTAGGTGTATATATTTATGAGTTACATGGGGTATTTTGATGCAGGCATGACAAGCACATCATGGAGAATGGGGTATCCACCCCCTCAAGAATTTATCCTTTGAGTTGCAAGCAATTCAGTTGCACTCTTAACTTTTTTTTTTGAGAGACTGATTTTCACTCTTGTTGCCCAGGCTGGAGTGCAATGGCATAATCTCGACTCACTGCAATCTCCGCCTCCTGGGTTCAAGCGATTCTCCTGCCTCAACCTCCTGAGTAGCTGGAAATACAGGCTTGCACCACCATGCCTGGCTAATTTTGTATGTTTTTAGTAGAGACAGAGTTTCTCCATGTTGGTCAGGCTGGTCTCGAACTCCTGACCTGAGGTGATCTGCCCGCCTTGGCCTCCCAAAGTACTGGGATTACAGGCATGAGCCACCGCACCCGGCCTTGCACTCTTAATTTTAAAATGCACAATTAAATTTTCATTGACGATAGTCACCCTGTTGTGCTATCAAATAGTAGGTTAGTCATTCTTCCTATTTTTTTGTTGTACCCATTAACCATCCCTACCCCATCCCCAGATCCCCACTACCCTTCCCAGCCTCTGGAAAACATCTCTATGTCCATGAGTTCAATTGTTTTGATTTTTAGATATCACAAATAAGTGAGAACAGAACATGAGATGTTTGTCTTACTGTGACTGGCTTATTTCACTTAACATAATGATCTTCAGTTCCATCTATGTTGTTGCAAATGACAGGGTCTCATTCTTTCTTTATGGCTGAGTAGTATTCCATTGTGTATATGTACCCATTTTCTTTATCCATTCATCTGTCGATGGACACTTAGGTTGCTTCCAAATCTTAGCCATTGTAAACAGTGCTGCAACAAACATGGGAGTGCAGATATCTCTTCAATATACTAATCTCCTTTCTTTTGGGTATATACCCAGCAGTGGGACTGATGAATCATATGGTAGCTGTATTTTTAGTTTCTTGAGGAACCTCCAAACTGTTCTCCATACTGGTCATACTAAGTTTCATTCCCACCAATAGTGTACGTCCTCACCAGCATTTGTTATTGCCTGTCTTTTGGATATAAGCTGTTTTAACTGTGATGAGATGATATATCATTGTAGTTTTGATTTGCATTTCTATGATTGATTAATGATGTTGAGCACCTTTTAAAGTACCTGTTTGCCATTTATATATCATCTTTTGAGAAATGTCTATTCAAATCTTTTGGCCATTTTTGATTGGATTCTCACCCCTCATATTTGACAGCACTCAGTGAGTAAGTGTGGGTGAGGAACTTGCCACCCTGCCTTGATTTGAGGAATGGCAGGGGACAAGAGAAGAGTTGGAGCTCTTCTGACATAGCCTGTGAACCTAAGGGCAGATGGAACCAAAGCTATGGTCAGTTCTAGTGACATCAAGATGAGGGGATAGAGGCCCTTGGGATCTTATGTCATACTGGCTTACAATATCAAATGTAGAAAATCAAATTTCTCTGGAAGACCAATGAAATAATGCTTAGTCAGTGCCTAGAGACTTATCCTGTAAGTTAACACTTTCTTCTACTTCAGTATTGCAACTTTTCCTCTATGTGGGAAACGTGCACACGTGGAGGATGGTTGTGGAGGTGTGTGGTGTGCAGGGCTATGGGGGCTCAAGGTCATATGTGCTTTACCTGGTGCTGGACTGGAGGCCTCATCACTCCATCTGAAGGAGAGCACAGGTGTGTGTAGCTCAGAACAAGTTCTGAATCTGGCCATCAGGAATACCATAGAATCCTAACTCGGGAAAGAGACCTAGAGATCATTTGGTCTTATCACCTCATTTTATAGACATGTAAATTGAGGCTTAGGGAGGGAGAAGATGTGCCTAAGGTCTCAGCTTTGTTACAGTCTGCTCTTGATCTTCGAGGACCTTTCAATTCTCAAACTTGTGATGCTGCAAATACTGGAGGGAGCCTGGAGCCTCGGGAGCTGGCCATGGTGCTGAAAACAGCCCCTTCCTGCTTCCCTGGAGCAAGCAGGCAGGAACATGCCCTCTACTTCTCCTACCTCCAAAAATGTCTCCACACTGTGTGAGAATATCATAGATTTTAAAGGGACATGGATTAGGAGTATTTTGAGTGTCAAAAGGTCTTATTATGGAAGAAGAGATTATTTTTATGCCAGAGGGCAGACTTAACACTGGTGGGTGAAAAGAATTCATCCAATTTTAACTCAGAGTAAGGAGGCAAGGTAGTGCAGAGACAGACTGTGAGATTTGGCATCAGGAAGAACTGGGATTGAATCATGAATTCTCTTCCTACTACTCTGGGAAAGTGATTACATTGTTCTAAAGCTCAGATTTGTCATATTAAAGTACTCTAAATGAAAACCCATGCCTCTTATGCTCTGCTATAAGAATTGGCTCTAATTACCACCATCATGATTGCTTTGAAGGAAGAGTTTTCTAATTGAGTTGGTCTGGACAGGGATGAGCAGTACATGTACATCTGTCAAGGATTCTGTAGAGGGGACTTCCATACTGGCTAGAGATTTGACTTAGTGACTTCTGAAGTTCACGGCAGCACTCAAATTCTGTTGTGTCTTCAAGAACCTAGGGTGAAATCAGACTGAACACCCTACCCTATTAAAGCACAATAAACTAAGCTCTCTTGAGGGCTTTTACAGACCATAAGTGTCACATTCACCATGTGAATGTGACAGCAACACAAGGAAGCTTTGCAGGTGCATCATTGTCCCTTTATCATCATCCTCACCACCACCACCACCGTCATCATCATTGATAACAGTATGATCATAACATATTTTAATTGCAGACACTTTAGTGATTCATTTCAGCACTGCGTCATCCTCTTAAGGCAGATAATGCAAGTACAATTCTTCCAATTTTCCTGCCTCTCCAGAACAGGAAAATGTGACACAGAGAATTTCCTAAGATCATTCAACTTTTTTTTTTTTTTTTGAGACAGAGTCTTACTCTGTCAACCCAGGCTGGAGTGCAGTGGTGCAATCTCGGCTCACTTCAAGCTCTACCTCCTGGGTTCACACCATTCTCCTACCTCAGCCTCCCGAGTAGCTGGGACTACAGGCGCCCACCACCACGCCCGGCTAATTTTTTGTTATTTTTTTTTAGTAGAAACGGGGTTTCACCATGTTAGCCAGGATGGTCTCAATCTCCTGACTCGTGATCCACCCACCTCGGCCTCCCAAAGTATTGGGATTACAGGCATAAGCCACTGCACCCGGTTGGCCATTCAACTTTTTATTGACCCACAAAGCCATGTATTTCTCACTTGAGGTGGTCAGTGATCCTAGCCTCTTAACTCCTTCTTCCCCACTCTGCTATTTTGGTGGAGTGAGTCAAAGGGGAGAGGTGTGAGTGTGTGAGACAAAAGAGAGAATGGAAAGAGACTTACACTTTTTGACATCTACTGTGTCAAGGGACACAGATTAGGAGTATTTTGAGTGTCAGAAGGTCTCACTGTGGTAGAGGCTCTACCACAATAAGAGCTAGAGGCTCTCTCATTAAATCATTAAATTCTTCGTTAGTACAATGAAGAAGGTATTATTTATCCAATTCTTCTGATACCTGAAGATAAGGGAGGTAAATTAACAAGACCATAAAGCTAGGTTTTGGCCCCAGTTCTGACTCATGTGTGAATTTGGTCACTGGGATTCTTTCCAGTTCTAAAATTCTGTGACGTTTCAAAGCTAAAATTCTGTGATGTTTTAAAGCTAAAATTCTGTGAGGCTGGGCATGACTTATATCTGTAATCCCAACACTTTGGGATGCTGAGGTGAGAGGATTGCTTGAGTCCAGGAGTTCAAGACCAGCCTGGACAACATACTGAGACACTCTACAAAAAGAAAATTTTAACTGGGCATGGTGGCACGCACCTGTAGTCCCAGCTTAGCTACTAAGGAGACTGAGTAGGGGGGATCATTTGAACCCAGGAGTTCATGGCTGTAGTGAGCTATGATTACTCCACTGCACTCCAGCCTGGGCAACAGGGCAAGACTCTGTCTCTTAAAAAATAAAGATAAAATTCAGTGACTTGTAAAAATGGGAAAGTGCTTTGCAGGGTCTGTGACTGTGGTGCTGAAAACACAGTGGGCTTGATCTCTTATCTAGTGAGTGGCAGAGTGGGCATTTAAAACCAGGTTTGTCTACCTCCAGGGCCACACCTGGGCTCAGAGGAGGGAATCAGTTCCCTTGGTGGGTATTCACTTTGAGCATCAGGGCCAGGTGTGGACAGTTTGACTAAGCAGTGTTGATATGTGACATTAGATCCTAAGCCCGGGAAGTATTGCTCATTGCTGCACTGCATCAGGAGCTGTTCAGACCAATTCTTATCACCTGGCTGGGTCTGTTGTGAAGCCTTAGAACTGACAGATATAACTAAAGCATTCCTGAGTCATGCCAGCCAGCCAGATTGCTTTCTGGTGATGTAGTGAACAGATACGAGATTTTGTGTTTCAGAGTTGAGTTTTCCTTCCTATGGCACAATTCCTCAGTCTATTATTAATATACCTTTATTATAAACTATTATTTGATCTGACTGTTCCAAATCAAAATGAATTTGCACTGGGCCTGACAGAGATAAAACTTAGGCTGGCTGATCCTAAGGATGTAGACAGGAAGATCGTTTTGTCATTAAGTTTATCGGAACATTTTCTACCATTTTCATTCCTTAAAACAAGAAAATATGGGGGAAATTTTGGGAAATTTTTCATTTTTGGGAAATTTCTGCAGAATAGCAGATACTTCATGGTATGGCATCTCCTCTGGAAACTTTTCTAGTCCGTCCTGCTTCTGTGTCCAATAATTCTTCTATGCCTTTGACCAGACACAGAAGTTCCTGAGAAGAAAAAAGGATTCTTCAGGAGAGCCTATGACCTATTTTGTGGGCTGGAGCAGCAGAATGCACCCAAGATGACTGAGGAAGAGGAGAAAGCCATGAAGATGAAGATGACGGACACCTCTGAGAAGCCTTTGTGGAGGACAGTGGCGAACGTCAATGGCATCATCCTGGTGACCGTGGCTGTCTTTTGCCATGCATATTTTGCCTGAGTCCTGTAGATTCACCATGGCTGGACTCTTCCTCACCTCCCTTTAGTCTCATCCTGTGGTGTTGAAGGGAAACCAGCCAGTTGTAAATTTTGCCCAGGTGGATAACTGTGTACATGTGTAATTATAGGCTAGCTAGAAGAAAATCATTAGTTTGCTGTTAACTTATGCATTTGAAGCCAGTGTGATGCAGCCATCTGTACCCACTGGAGCTGCAGAAGGACAGTCCACTCAGTCACATCCAGAAAAAGGCAGACTAAGAATCAGAAGCCATATGATGTCTGATGTGAGTCTGTCTCAGGTAGATTCCGGGTGTCAGTGTGGTTTATAATCCTTGAATATTGTTTTAAGAACTTTGGTCTCCCTGGTTCCTGCCACTTTTTCTGTCCATCCTCCTCCCCATTTTTTTTAAAAAGAAAACTATTTTCCCCCATCATATCCCTCTCGAGTTTTGCCTGGACTTTCCCTCTCAAGTGTGTCAATCGGATAAACTGAGGAATGCATGGAAGCTGAGGATGGAGCTTGATGGGCTCCCTGTCCTGGGTGTTTGCTCTTTGAAGTGGAGGCCTGAGGAAGTTAGTACTTCCACAAAAGGGAGGGACTTGGGTCCCAGCCTCAAGCTAGTTGGGGAGGCAGATAGCCTAGTCCAGGGAATTTTCTGGGCTTCTTAAAATGTCCATTGTGAGTTCCCTGTGTTTGGGATTCCACTCATTTTGGCATTCACAGTGCCTGGAATGTCTTAGATTTTCAGCAATGCTTGTTGAATAAATGAATGACACAGGCATTTATTTATAAATCTTTGCTTTCTTTTTACATAAGTCTGGCCCTTAGTTAACCTTTTTGTGGCTACACAAAATACGCCCACTGGTTACTAATGACTAATGACTTGGGATGCATTTGTCAAACTGATTATATCAGTTTTCTAGGGGTGTCATAACAAAGTAGCACAGACCAGATGGCTCAGGCAGCACACATTTATGTTTTCACAGTTCTAGCCACTAGAAGTTGGAGCCCAAGGTGTCAGCAGGGTTGGTGTTTACTGAGGCCTCTCTCCTTGGCTTGCAGGTGGTCATATCTCACTGTCTTCCACAGCCTTCCTTTTGTGTCCTAAATCTACTCTCTTATAAGGACATCAGTCATATTGGATTAGGACCCATCCTTCATTTTAATCACCTCTTTAAAGCCCCTACCTCCAATACAGTCACACTGTGAGAAACTGAGGGTTAGGAATTCAGCAAGTGAGTCTTGAGGAGATAGATATTAAACAAACCCACAACACAGATAAAGTATGCATTTTGGGGATTTCCAAGCCAGAGGCTCCCGTTAAAAAGGTAAACTGAGGCAGATATTTTGCAGCAAAAGGAAACAGAATTACAAACTGAACATACATGGGTGAGGCAAGGCGGGGGGTGGGGGGCCAAGGCCTTTGGGTAGGCTGATCACAGGGTTTTTCAACAATAAATCACTGGGAATGCGTTTGTTGCTCCCAGGACCCTGGCACCTTGACTCCGGGACTATAGCACGTCAGCAAATACAAGTAAAGCCCAGCACTCTGATTTGCACTTATGCCAATCTGAAATATCTGGTGTTTAGTTTGATTTTTTGAGTGCAGGTTCATTCAAGGACCAGCCTTCCCTTGTGCTCAGGGTGAAGTAGAACCAGAAAACATTATTATCCATTCCCAGAAGTCTTGGAAGAGCCTTAGTAGAAAAGCAGAAGCTGCTTTGACTGTGAAAATATTTGATTCCTGTCAGTTTTTGGTCAGAAAATATCCACCTAGACCAACCTGAGGAGAAGGCTCAGAGTACAGATATACTCTGAGCAATGTGATCAATGTCCCTGAACCTTCATTTTTCATCTGAAAACAGAGATATAAATGCCTGACTCACAGATTTAAATGTTATACATTGATAGCATTTATCAATATAACATTTATTTAAATAAGTAGGTGCTCAATAGATGTTGGTCTTCTAACTTTCCATCCCCATTCCAGGGTCTTCAGAATTGAAAGAGAGATGTTGTATCACTGTTAGAAGGCTGCCTTGGGAAATTCTGCAGCAGGGAGGAGTGATTCTCAGCCCCTACACCATGACCGCCAAGTTCCTCACCTTGGCTGAGTCCCTAAATCCCTCTGAACCTCAGGTTCCTCCAAGCACAATGCAGACTTCACAGAGCTGTTGTAAAGATTAGATGAGGTCAACTGATACTGCTTAAAAGGCCTGGTCCATAGAAGATGCCCAATAAACATTACTGCTTTCCCCCTCACCCTATTGCCTGAAAAAATATACCCATGAGACTGACTTTGAGGACCAGTGTGGGCAGGGGGTTGCACATATAAAATATTTTATGAGTACCAAGCACAAAAATCAAGCTGGTAAAATATCAGGCCTTGCCCCAGAAAGAGAAATACCACATGATCTCACTGATATGTACAATCTTAAAAAGTCAAACTCAGAAGCAGAGAGTAGAATGATGGTTATCAAGGGCTGGGGGAGGGAGGGACTGGGGAGATGCTGGTCAAATGATACAAAGGTTTAGTTGGGTGGAATAAGTTCAGAACATCAATTGTACAATATATCAGTTATAGTTAACAGCAATATACCACATACTTCAAAATTGCTGAGAGTAGTGTAAGTGTTCTACCACAAAAAAAATGTGCGGTAATAGATGTTAATTACCTTAATTTAGTCATTCCACAATATGTACATATATAAAAACATGTTGTATGCCATAAGTATATGTAATTATTATTTGTGAATTTAAAAAATAAAAATAATTTCCAAAAAATGTGACAGGCATTGGACATGTAGAGGAGAGGCCAGAATTAAGCAGATGGGCCCTAAAAGTCAGTGGAGTCAGATTTTTCTTTCCCTTGGTGCTATAACGTGCCTCAGCCATACCTACACACCTTTGGCTTCAGAAAAGACTTTTGGTCCTAACACAGCTCTACAAATCTCAAAGGAGGAACTGGGGAAAAGGTTTCTCCATTCTTCCAGTGTTGGTGAGGAAATGTAGCCCCTTTAGAAGTTAACTCTATATAGTGGTTTTCAAAATGTGATCTTCAGACCAGCAGCTGCAAAATCATCTGGGAACTTGTTAGAAACGCACATTCTCAGGCCCTATTCCAGACCTACAAAGTAAAAAACGTCAGGGGAGGGGGTGCGTCCCCCAAATCTGTGTTTCAACAAGCCCTCCAGGGGTTCTGATGCAAGCTATAGTTTGAGAATCACTACTCTAAGCAGCCCTTGGTCTGGTTCTGAACTGCATGTGTGTGTGCTGCCAGCACTCTTGTGTGAAGAAGGCCCCTTTATCAGATGGGTTTTTGCTACCAGTTTTCCAGGCATGGGATAAATGGTATTAAATTGCCTGTTTTTTCACTGAGTGGCTCTCAGGACTTCAAAAGCTGGCTGGTTTAAGGATGCAACTTGGGGCTCTAGGGCTGAATGGTACTTATCTGAGTCCCTTGGAGCCAGTCACACAACACTGGCCCCACCGACCTCATCCACACCTCCCTAATCCCATCCCCACCAAACTACCAAGACAATGCCACCTCACTGAAACAACTTCATCCGTCAAATTATAATTTGGAGGTCAGGTGAGATTTTCTTTGGACAGGATAGGACGGATGTTAAGAAGCCCCTCTCTTCTAGGCAAGCACACTTACACTTTTCTCTTGAGGTTCACTTTTGTGAAGGAGGACAAGAGAAAACAAGCTGCAGCACCTCTTTTAGGAGATGGTGACTTCAGCACTAGGAAAGAGTGTTCCAGTGAGTTCCAGAGTAGGAATGTCACTGAGGGAACAGCAATGCCTGGCACAGCTACACACAAGCAAAGCAGTGGTCTCAGGTAGGTCAAAGGCCCCAGGACCAACTTCACTCTGTAGCGACAGAGGCCTGGCTTTGCATTTTGAGAGATTCCTTTTGAAATAGGCATCTATAAAGATTTTGCCTGATAAGGCATGATTTTTCAGTTCTATAAACTGAGGATTGATAAGCAGTCATTCAACCCCATATAGAATACCATCATCTTCTTTTTTTTTTTGAGACAAGAGTCTTGCTCTGTTGCCCAGGCTGGAGTGCAGCGGTATGATCTCGGTTCACTGCAACCTCCGCCTCCTGGGGTCAGCAGGGGTGATTCTCCTGCCTCAGCCTTCCAAGTAGCTGGGATTACAGGCATGTGCCACCACGCCTGGCTAATTCTTTGTATTTTTAGTAGAGACAGTGTTTCACTGTGTTAGCCAGGATGGTCTCGATCTCCCCATGTCATGATCCACCCACCTCGGACTCCCAAAGTGCTGGGATTACAGGCGTGAGCCACTGCTCTCAGCCTAGAATACCATCTTCAATTTGAGGAAATGAATAGTGCCCCTGAAATTATTGTAGCATAATTAATCATTTGCTCACCATAAGTAACTCAGTATATTCTAATGGGGCATTGTACAGGCAGTTACTCACCTCATGTTTACTGGTGGCTCTGCAGTTGAAATAATCCCTAAACTTACCTATATTTTAAAAAATTGTTCAAGTTGCTAGATCCAATTATCAACTATCCTGGCCTCCTGCTTCCTGACCCGTATCTTGTGCTAACTAAGCTCACCATAGATATATTTAGTATTTGTCTAAAATCTCTGGAGAACAGGGAATCAGGATGTTATGGGGTTTTAATGTTTTTATTTTTATCAAAGGAATACATTTTAATTTATGGGACTATAATGCAGGTTAATATAGCATCTGCATGGCATCTTTCGTGTATGTAGCTCCCATCCCGTTTTCAAAGAGTCCTCATCACAGCCACGAGGTAGGTAGATGCTACAAGCACCAAGGTCCTCATTTTTCAAAAAACCAAACTACACAGTTGAGACAAAATAATTTGCCAAAATATACACAGCAAATCATTGGCAAAACCAGAAACCGAATCCAGGACAGTCTAGATATTTTCCACTATCCACCCCTTCCAGTGGCTTTCCTTCCTCTCCCTTTCAAAACTCAAAACATAACACAAGCTTCATGTCAGATCCAGTCCTCCAGGGAATGCCAGCCATGTGAAATTCTTCTCTTTTCCCTCTCCTCTGCCTCACTTCAGGAGACTGAGAAGGCACTACAAATAGCGCTCTGTGGTTTCCTTCCTTCCATGAGAACAAGCCATCCCTTTACCTCGTGAACCATATTTATACGCAGGAACCACTCTCAGTTCTTTTCTAAGTTCTCCTGAAACCAGCCAATACTAACATCATGATTTTTTCAATGGGATTATATTACAACATAATTGAGATTTCACAAGTGTAATTAAAAGAATGAATTAAATTTAAATGAAAGAATTTCCTCCTAAGAAAATGGTTCAACAAAAAGTACACATCTGTCAGCTAGAAGTGTTAGGTGCTAACACTTGGAACAGAGATCACCTACCCTAATCTTTGTCAAACTGATTAGATTCTGTTCTGTGTTTTCTTAAGATTCTGTATTTGTCCAGTTGGTATCAATTTATCACACGGCCAATGAACTGTATTTATTATCTTCTTGATTCTTGATGCTCTGGTATTTTGGTGATCATGCAGACTCAGGGAAAGACTGCTTTTCCCAGCAGCTTCTGCTTTTCTACCTTACAGATGTTAAGGTCTGCTTTTCTATCTTACAGATAGGAAAGAGCTTGCCTGGGAGCGTGTCTTTCGTATACAAACCAACCAGTCCCAAGTCTATCGCCCCAAATCAGCTCCATATCCAACTTCCACACACCAAGCTAGTGTTTCCTCTGCACTGAATAACCCTGGGACCAGGCACGAGGCAACTGGAGACCAATTCAATAGTCCAAAGCCCACTGGAACTGTTCAAACTAGTCAATCCTAAACTATTTACTCTGCCCTGTTCTGCCTTTCCCAAGGAAACTCCAACTAAGGTGCTGGCCCATTCCTTTATTCCTTTCTGCCTCCTAATGACACCAGTGCTTTCCCTATGGCCCTGTGTGTCATATGACTATCCCCTCTCTGAGATCTGAGAGTATAATAAACTTCATCCTTTCAGACCTTGTTCTCTCCTCCTGGGGCCATACCAACTTGACCATATCTTACCCAACACCTACATGCTTAGAACAAAATCCCTTCCACTTCCTATAGTTAGCTCAAAGGGCTGCAGGACACCGTCAGCGTGTTGATCAGGAATTGCACCATCATTTCCTTAAAAGGCCATCCATCTCTTTCTCAACCTTTCTTCTGGCCCCTTTACCTTCTCTTATTCTCTCTTTGTGCCCATTCTTCTCCACTCATTCCTTATTTCCTGGTCCAGTTACTTTATGGACCTCAGTGAACATACATCACCAGTCTCTACCTTCACTTTTCATCCCTTTCCTCCCATATGCTGCGAAGCCCTCTGAAATTATTCAAACTAGCCAATCCTGCTTACCTTGCTTTATGCATTTCTTCGCACAAAACCATAATAAATGCCCTTGTCCATGTTTTTCTCCCATTCCCCTGCCTCCTGAGCAACCCTGGGTCTTCCCCATGTGGACTTTTGTGGTGTGGTGTGCCCCTTCACCTTAGGAACTATAAATTACAAACTATCTTTCCAATGGCAATTGTCTTCTGATCTGTTGGCCTCACCATACCTCAATAATAGCAAAAACTACATTAAAAAAAGAAATGAAGTTCTCTATGCTTTTGAAGTTGATATCAATTTAAAAGAGATTGTGGTAACTTTAGGATGTTAAATCGAATCCCCATGGTCATCACAAAGGATATATCTAAGATTATACATAAAATGAAATGAGAAAATAAAAAGTTTACTATAAAAAATCTAAACACAAAAGGCGACAGTAATGAGGGAAATAGACTAAAAAGGTATAACATATAGAAAACAAATAGCAAAATGGCAGAAATAAGTTCTTTCTTATCAGTAATTTGTTTGTATGTAAATGAATTACATCAAAAGGTAGAGATCATCAGAATGGGTAATAAAAACACGATTAAACTGTGTGTTATTCATGAAGCATCCACTTTAGATCCAAAGACAGAAATAGACTGAAAGTGCAGGGATGGAAAAAGAGCTTCCATGCCAATGGTAACCAAGAGAGTTGAGCTATATCAGAAAAATTAGGGCCGGGCACGGTGCCTCAAGCCTGTAATCCCAGCACTTTGGGAGGCCGAGACGGGCGGATCATAAGGTCAGGAGATCGAGACCATCCTGGCTAACACGGTGAAACCCCGTCTCTACTAAAAAAACTAGCTGGGCAAGTGGCGGGCGCCTGTAGTCCCAGCTACTCAGGAGGCTGAGGCAGGAGAATGGCGTGAACCCAGGAGGTGGAGCTTGCAGTGAGCTGAGATCCGGCCACTGCACTCCAGCCTGGGCGACAGAGCGAGACTCCATCTCAAAAAAAAAAAAAAAAAAAGAAAAAAGAAAAATCAGAAAACAAGACCTTAAAAACGGTTAAAAGAGGGCTGGGCATGGTGGCTCATGCCTGTAATCCCAGCACTTTGGGAGCTGGAGGCAGGTGGATCACTTGAGGTTAGGAGTTCGTGACCAGTACGGCCAACATGGTGAAACCCCATCTCTGCTAAAAATACAAAAAGTAGGCAAGCATGGTGGTGGGCACCTGTAGTCCTAGCTATCGGGAGGCTGAGGCAGGAGAATCACTTGAACCTGGGATGTGGAGGTTGCAGTGAGACAAGATCCACTCCAGCCTGGGTGACAAAGTGAGACTCCATCTCAAAAAAGCAAAACAAAACAAAAACTGCTAAAGGAAACAACAACATTATATATATTGATAAAAGGGTCAGTTCATTAAGAAGATATAACCAT